GAGTTTTGATCGTTAGAATTTTATGAAAGTGTTTTTTTTTTTAAATGAATTTTATGATAATATAAATCTAAATTAATCGATTCTCAACGATATACAATAACTAGTGAAAAAACTTTTAAAAAAAAATGTGTGCGTTCATTTTGTTTCTTATTGACACTTAAAAGTAATGAAAAATACCCAAAAAGTGTTCCATTTAATTAGTGGATGAGGTGACAAGATTATGTTATGACAATATATATGTGCCATCATTTCTATCCACTAATTAAAATTGCTCCACTATTGATTTACACTAAAGTTAATGGACGCTATACATCCTCAGCTCATTGTCCCCTCTTACCCCACAAACTTTTTCTATTTTCAGTTTTCACTACATGATAATAGAGTTAAGATTTACATATATTTTATTCTTTTTAAATATTATTTGTGAAATTAAATTCAAATATGTGGTTATTAGTGTATGATACGTGTAACAATGTATTCACGCTTAGCCTTCATAATTCATATGCCATAAATCAATCATTTTGAAGAAAAAAAAATACTTCATAATTCATCTGCCAAAATCTTATCTTAATTAAGTTTATACTATATTATATAGCAGTTTGCAATTAATAATAATAATAGCAATAACAATAATATTAAGCAGTAATACATATATATCACTTGGCAACTTGCTTTAACTTAAAGCTTCTATCCCCAAAACCCATTAAATAAAGTTGCATTATTATATTGAACAACCTCCTAAAATGATCACTTGCTTGCGCGTTTTTTTAAAGAGAAAAATTCTATTATTGGCGTATGATTTGAAAGTCGATGAATAAAAAAATCACTACTCCAACTTTCACGTGCGATTTTGCATTTAATAATATCAACACTCTTTGTAATATGCCTTTTAAAATATTTCAATGCTTCATCATAAGAAAGATATGTCTCTTAATTAGAGCTGTCAATATGGGCTGACCCCCTCTATTTGGGTTAACCTATACAGGCTTTGAAATTTGACGGGTCAGATTGGACTAGCTTATTTTTGTGATGGGCTAGAAAATGGTCTGCCCAGCCCACAAGTACGTGGGCTACGGGCTTTGCCAGGCCAACCATCTTTTCTTAAAATTATATTTTTTATAATTTTTAAAATTAAATTATAATTTTAAAATATTATCATAAATATCGACAAGACAATATTACATGGTGTTCGTGTTACTACTTATTAATCAAATTCACAAATAAATTTATCTTTATAATATTTATTAAGTTTGATTTCAAGTAAAAGCATAAATAGCTAAATAGAAATATTAACCTAATTGTTTTCCAATGATCATAATAAAACACCAAAACTATGACAATATTCCATAGGCTACGGCCTATGTAGTGATTCCCTAGAAATTTTATTTTATGTAGTACATATTTTATAAAAATAATTTGTATTTAAATTGTAATATTTCAAATTCTAAACAGATTTTGAGTTTAAACTCTTGTTATTTTTAATACTCTATTTTATTTTTATTTGGCCCACGGGCTGGCCCTATCCATATTTTTCAAGCCTTACAAATCGGCAGACTTATTCAGGCCGGGCTAAAAAGCCATTTTCTAAAATGGACTCCAAAAATCATAGCCCAATCCTATCAAATCACGGGTTAGGTCAAGCCGGCCCAACGGGCCTAGCCCATATTGACAGCTCTACTATTAATCATAACTATTCATAATCATAAAGTCTAAGTTACCTTTTATCTCCCCCTTAACCATCTTAGTTAATCAACACTTTCACTAATCAAAATAATAAAGATAAGTATTAAAGAAAATATATAATTTTGATGATGGGTGGTTGTGAGATTCATGATATTCAAAACCTTGTTGTCTGCTCTAATATCATACTAAAAAAATTGACATTATTGAGCCTACTGAACTACAAAAGTAAAATAAAAATTGTCTAATAATATATAAGAAGACTAGAAAATATGTATCTTACAATATTTTAAAATTATAGATTCAAAACAACTTATATTTGAGATTGAAATCTGAATAACACTCTATAGAATTTTATGGAGATTTACAAACTTTATAAAACTCTATCGCGTGAAATAAAAATGTTATTTTTCTTATAAAACTCTATCGTGTGAAATAAAAGTGTTATTTTTCTTATAAATAATAATAGAAACCAAGTGATGGACATATACTCAACCTCTCCACTTTTCCAACACAAAGTGGGAAAAAAAAGGTGTACAATTTTTTTAAAGAAATAATTTTAAAAGTCAACCTCAAACTCTTAATAAGTCTCATTTGCGTGCAATCTCTTCCCTATTTAGTGAAAAGATATGATGAAGGCACAAAAAAGTGCTAGTGGGAATCTTTTTTTTATATGTTATTTGGGGCACTTCTCTTCTCTTCTTTTTTTTTTTTTTTTTTTTTTTTGGCATTTTAAGTGAACATTATAGATTTTTTTTTTCACTTTCTCAACAAGAATGATTATGATTTATGAAGGGTCATTTCTTGGAGCACTTGCTTGAACCAAAAGATATGTCCACTAAAGCATTCAATTCTGTAGTGCTTTGCCAAGGAGATGTATATGTAATATATTGATGGAAACCTTACATAAAGATTTTTTATTTGTGTGGCCAATATGTATTTTTTTTATTTACAAAAGTAAAAACGTGAAAAATGCAAATAGTAGAGTACTTTTCATATGTGAAAAACTTCCATATATGTAATATAATAAAATGTTTAGCATTTCCGCCCATGAAATTGACTTCACGAAAATGCAAGATCCACCAACAAGTCTTGCCGACCCTTAAAAAATAATTTTGAGATAATTTGCGATAAAATTTAAGTTATATACATTGTCAGTATAAGAAATCTTTACACTATTAGATAACATTTACTTGTGTCTTGTTATAACAAACAATCTGACTTATTTTCAAAATTATAAACATCATATTTAAAAAGGCTTACCTGTAACTTTATTTTGTGACTAATTACAATATTGTTGTTAATGTATCGTGAAATCTCAATAATAGAGCAATAGATGAAGATTATATATATCTAGGAAGATAAATATCGATATAATCATTATCGACCTCGTGTTAATTAGCATATGTAATTGGAGCAACATGATGAGCAACTTGTAGTTCATAAATGTTAGATAAAATGCACACTTTTGCTACCATAGAGAAAGAATAATGAGTATTTTCATTGATTTTAATTTTTATACGTACACAATAATGGAATCACTCGTACCATTTTGTGGGACTATACTAGATATATTGTTATTGTATATTTTTATACATATGATGTAACTATGATTTTTATTTTATTGGTTCTGAATCATAATTCTCTTTACGTACTGTGTTATACATAGAACATATTAATTTTTTAAAGACAAATGCATGATTTTGAGTCAAGGTCATTGAATTCTTCCGAACCCATTATTGTAACTTGTAACCAAGGTTCCACCCCACTATCGATCAAGATATTAAAAGATAACTATTGATAACCGTCCATAGATGTGTGATTATTTTTTAAAATAGTGCACGTCATTTTTGCAAGAATCTGTTAGAGTACGTGTTCATTTTATAAAGAAGCAGCGTATTTAGTTAGCAGACTCAATAGTTTCAAATAAGTACGTAGATATATAAAGTGCTATTGGACCAGAAATATACAACTTTCAAAATATAAGACCATCTTTTTGTACATCGAAGCTCAATGGAAGCAACATTATATTATAAAGTTAGAGCAAAATATATAGAGTTTAACAAATAAAAAAAAAAGGAGAGAAAGATGGAAGTAACCTATATAAAAGGATATTAAACCATGCATGTAGTACTTTATTGCCTAAATTTGCAGCCATTTTACTAAAATAATTGACTTGAATCATTTTGAAATTCTATTCCTATAACTTGTAGTAATTAAAGATTTTTCAAGATTCAAATGTTTTACTTCATCAACTCCTTCAAGGATTTGTTTCTCCATGACCATCACAATGCTTATCCTCTTCAACTATGACTTTGACATGCACAAAACTAATACTATGACAACATATATGATAGTATTCGTCAACATAGACAAAACTGGATTTGAAACATATGAATTCGAAATTTTAGTATACAAAGTTTGAATTAAAGCTATATAGTATTGAATTCAACTGAACCAGAAACTTAATTAATATATCCTAATTCTGTCGACTCTGCATGTTGAACACACAAAATATCTAAAATCACAAAGAAAACTCTACATCTTTTTGTTGGAGAAAATGAAATTGCTTTGAATTGTTGTATTTCCTCTTTGGCTTGGTGAAGCTTCCTTGACAGATGGAAAAAAAGGCATGACAAAGAGGTTGGAAAATTAATACTGGAGACATAACAATGACTTAAAAATATCATTTTCTCTCCTTATAACTAGTCGCAAATTCTATATTTTAGATCAAAAGTCTCAAATATTATATTCCGTAATTTATTATCGATGGATTCAGGTGAACCCCTCAATACTCTCTAGATACGTCCCTATGCATATGAATGTGTTTCTTTTTTAGGAACCATATTTATTTATTTATTCATTTAAAAGAAAAGGGCAGTCCATTTATGAACAGAAAACAAAATTCTTGAATCTATTATTTTGTCAAATCGAAGTTATTGATTATGAAGTGTGAATAAGAAAAGTCGATAAAATAAATTGCAGTCACTAGTCAACATATCAAGGGCAAATTTGACATTTAAATGTCAAAAACAAACAAACTGGTAAAACCTGAAAGGTTATTTTAGTCTAATTACAACGTGACCGTGTAAGCAGACTTTTCGGACATAAAATTCAAGCTCTTAATCAGAGTAGTCAATTAATTAACTTTTTTTTCCCACAATTACCCCTCTTATTAGCCGCATTTCAATTAATCCTATATGATATTTCCGTAAATATAACGAAAACTATACCCCTCGAACCCCAATTCTTGAAATATTATCCTCTATATATACCCTTTACACCATCTTAGTTCCAACTAACAGCTTCTTCTTCCTCCCATAACTCAATTGACTTTTTCTCTCTCTAAATCATACAAATTTCTTCCTCTTTGTCTCTCTATAAAATCAAAAAATGCAGGTGGCAGCAACACTTCCGGCGACCGGTGTCCATTTTTTTTCGACACGGCGAGCCAGTTTCAAATGTAATGGCTATTCATCACCATTGAAACCAATAACTAGAGCTAGTTCAATAAATGCACAAAGTTTAACAACAATTGCACCAGTAACAACAACTACAGAGATGACGAAAATACATCTCTCAAATCTTGAAAAGCTTTTGCAAAAGGAGGCGAAACCGGAGCCGGTAATTCAAAAACAGGGGAAAACAGGGGAAAATAGAGGAAAACAGGGGAAAAAAACAGAGGAAAACAGGGGAAGGAACTTGTTAGAAGGGCTAAATTTGTCTAGAATTTGGCCTGAAATGAAAGCAGCTGAAGAAATGTCACCAAGGCATTTGATTAGGTTACATAGAATGTTGTCATCGAAATCAATGGAGTATTCTCCAAGGAACAATCTTGGTAGTAGGTGGAAGGAGTATCATGGTTGTAAAGATTGGTTAGGACTTCTTGATCCATTGGACGAAAATCTCCGGCGAGAATTAGTCCGGTATGGGGAGTTTATTCAGGCGGCTTACCATTGTTTCCACTCCGACCCCGCCACGTCAGCAAATGATAACGCTCACGTGGCGAGGGACGTGTCGTTGCCTGATAGGTCATACAAGGTGACTAAGAGTCTTTACACCACGTCATCCATTGGACTTCCTAAGTGGGTGGATGACGTGGCACCCGACCTCGGGTGGATGACCCAGAGGTCGAGTTGGATCGGGTACGTCGCGGTATGCGACGATAAAGCCGAGATCCAACGTATGGGGAGGAGGGATATTGTCATCGCGTTGCGGGGAACTGCAACGTGTCTTGAGTGGGGGGAAAATCTCCGCGATGTGCTCGTTCAAATGCCGGGAGAAAATGAATTAGTTGACGCACAACCTAAAGTAGAATGTGGATTTTTGAGCTTGTACAAAACAGGTGGAGCTAAAATCCCAAGCTTAGCTGAATCTGTTGTAAATGAAGTGAAAAGACTAATTGAAATGTACAAAGGGGAGTCACTAAGTATAACAGTAACAGGACATAGTCTTGGTGCTGCATTGGCTTTACTAGTAGCAGATGACATAAGTACATGTTCACCAAATGCTCCACCAGTCGCAGTTTTTTCCTTTGGTGGCCCTCGAGTAGGCAACAAAGGTTTCGTGAATCGTCTGGAGTCCAAAAACGTTAAGGTGTTACGTATCGTGAACAAGCAAGACGTGATCACTAAAGTTCCAGGGATGTTTGTGAGCGAAGCAATAGACAAGAAACTAAGAGACACCGGAGCCTCGGGGGTGTTGAACTTGCTTGACAATAGCATGCCATGGGCTTATTCACATGTTGGCACAGAATTGAGAGTTGACACAACAAAGTCTCCATTTTTGAAACCTGATGCAGATGTTGCATGTTGTCATGACTTGGAAGCATATTTGCATTTGGTGGATGGATATTTGGGATCAAATGAATCATTTAGACCAAATGCTAAGAGGAGTCTAGCTAAGTTGTTAAATGAACAAGGTGCTAATATTAAGAAATTGTACAAGGGTAAAGATTTGAGTAATCTCAATCTTAATAGAGAATTTATTTTTTCTAGGCCTAGTTGTTTGCCTAGTCCTAGTGTTTTGCCTAGTCCTTCATCTTGAGTTTATTGGGATGAAAGAATATATATGCTTCTTGTACAAATTTAAGAAGTATATGTTATCTATTTGTATAATTACTATTCCTTAGTTCTCTTCTTTTTTTCTTCTTTTGATGACATTAGACATAGCAAGAAAGGTCTAAAATCTGGAAGATTATCACACAAGTTGCATATGAAAATGGATTAAGAACAAAGAATGCAAGAAATGAAGAGATTCAATAGTTATTTTGCCCACTTAGCAAAGAGAAACAAGTATAATGGAGTATTTTTATTTTTTTTGGTTTCTTATCTCGTGTCCGGAGCCCATTAGAGCCTAACCTAAATGCAGATCGCATACTGCAAGACACATTCGAGATTGACACTCCAAACATGATTTTCTCCATACCCAAGACTCAAACTCAAGACCTCTGATTAGGAGTGAAACAGTCTCACAATTACATCAAAAACCCATGTTGGTTATAATGGAGTATTATTGACAAACGAGTGGAACCACTCAAAGTAATAAGTTTTTCTGACTCATTACACGGGATTATGTTGTTTTACCTAAAGATATAGTTATAAAATATTAATTTGATTTAAATACTACAATATTAATGATGGTGGAATTTATTAATACACATTCTTGAAAAAAAAGTCAACAAATTAATAATGTACAAAACAAGCAGGGGGTGGACCCACCCTTGGCAGGGAGGTATCAAGCGACACCCCTTTGTCGAAAAATTACATTGTATATAGAAGTCAAATTTTGGTTTTTTTTTTAAAATAAATAAATAAATAAAAATAATAATAATAAAATAAAAATAAAAATATATATATATATAAGTATTGACATCTCTTGACACAAGTGGAAGGTTTTGTCTAGTAGTTAAGATGTTGCAAAAAAAATCAGTTAAAAGTTATATCATGTTGGGTGTAATCACCTCCCCCTCCCCCTCCCCCCTCCCTTTTTTTTTTTCTTCTTTGACCTATTTCTACTTCTTTTCTCTTGTTGTAGCCAACCTCTCACACCTCCTCACTAGCTAGCGAATCCTCACACTTTTTTTTTCACATGTCTTAACCATCTCAACCTCGCTTCTTCTATCATGTCCGCCACAAAAGGATCATGTCCGCCACAAAAGGGCACTCCCACCTTATCCTGTGTAACTTGATTCTTAGTTATCTCTCTTTTAATATGCTCATACATTCATTTGAGTATTCTTAATTCTCATCTCTACTACTTTCATCTTCTAAACATGGACATTCTTGATTGATCAACATTCAACCACATATAATAGTGATGCCCACGATAGATCATTGACCTTTTGAACATCCACAGTCTAATAATGTGTTCCCTATTGCATAGATTTAATTACAATATGATTGATTGACTGTCACTTTATTAATTAATTAATTAACTAACATCAACGCCCACTAGTTTAATGAGCACTTAATCCAAGTACTAGATCCAAATAATTGGTTGGTGTCACCTTCAACGTGTACAAACTAACGCTTATTCAACCTGCTCATAGCTAAATGTCTTTTAGTTTTAAATTCTAAACTAGCCACGTTATAAATATATAATTATTGATAGGATTGTTGTTAAACATTTGATGCTTACGTTTCCTAATAAATTATTTTTATATATATAAGAATAACAAAACTTGAACAAATTGTATATATAAATATGTCTATCGAAAATAATATATTTACCTTCATAAAAATAGGAGTAAGTTTACATATACATTGTCTTATTTAGATCGTACTTATGAAATTACACAAAATGTTGGCATTACAATTTTGTGTTTTGTTGGAACCCCCGGGACAATCCACAATCTCTGCCTTTCTAATGAGCACTTTGTGATAACCTACTCATTGTGCAATAGCTCGCAAGCAACACCTGAGATATAAATCGCACTAGGCAAGTCTCATGTGATGAGCTCATGATTGAATAGCAAACGAGAACTAGATTCAATTTCAGATCTCCCCACATCAAAGATTCACCTCTCTGTCACTCAACCATGTCCTTGGCGAGGCTGATATTATTATTATTGTTAAGAAATTGTATATATCGTTAAAAAAAAATGTGTATAGTTGTAGAATGGGCATAATATACGGCGCCCACCGTGCATGTATAAACTCATCAATTAATACTTGAAAAGACAAAAAATAAAATAAAATGTGGTTGTACTTGCTGTAAAGATCATGATTTTGAAATTATATTTTAAACACCAAGTAGTATCAAATAATTAAAAAATGAACTATGGGATCCATGTGTGCATTTTTATTAATTCTCTACATCATAAACTAATGAAATTTATTGAGACACATGCCTAAATAATTAAGTCTTGTAGGTGTAGATCCAAAAAGTATTTGAGCTAATAACCGGGTCATTTGCACAATGCCCTTATTTTGAGTTGTTTTTAATTTTTGCTCCTTAAAATTATTGGTCTTTAATTTTTATTTTTTTGAGTTTGAAATAATAAAGATAGAAAATGTCCTTGATAACGAAAAATAAAATAAAAAAGAAAATTTGCAAGACATAAGTAAGTTATGCTCAAAAGAAATTAATCTTAAGAACTTTAGTGACCCAAGTTATGCCTCAAGACATAAATTTAATGGTCAACTTATGACACGGGGCAACATAAGTTATGACTTAAGAAATAAGTTCTCTAAAAATCTTGTCTTGCAAATAAGAAATTAGGCCTTAAGGCAAAACATTTTCTAATAAGTTTAGTCTGTGAGATTAGTTGTGCCTAGTGAATTTAGGTCATAGTCAAGGGTACAATAATCTAATTTTTTAAAAATTAAATTAGAGAATATTAAAAAGATTAAAACCAAAAATCTGAATGGCAAAAATTAAAGACCACCCTAAGGACAATTTGTGAAAAACTTGAAAATAGCCATGCATTAAAATGGATAATATTTGGTGGGCTAAGAGAAGGCCTACAAGAGAAGCCCATTTGAAGAAAATAAATACTTAGAATTCTAAGATTTGATTGATATTCCAAATTTTTTCATATTTCGTTACTCAAAATATTTTTAAAGAATATTTTTTCCACTCAAGGGGGTCGTTTAGTAAAGATAAAATTTGAATCATAGGTTCCTCTATGATTAAGGAAAATGAGATTTACAGAATAAGATATGAAAGTATATTTATATATAATGGAAAAACCCAGTAGTTTAGCTTTTACTTTTGATAGATTACTTGGCATTAGAATATGTGTATTAACTTTATTTGATACACTCTTTTAATGTTTGTGTCTTAGTTATACATTTTATTTGATATTATGCTCGGTATGATTAATACATGGAAAATCATAGCATTAGCAACACAAGAGGTTTTAAGTCATGCATTAGCATAGTTAGAGATACAATCTCCCCTCAAAATTCTTTTCACATCCTTTCTACCGTATTTGTTGAGGGTGTTTGATCTTAGTTAACAAATATCTTTTAGAAATTATATAATGCATATTATTTTTAATATAACAAACCACAATTGCATAAGAAAGGATCTCAACAGATCTAATGCAAACATAACTAGTGTCAATAAAACTAATACACCATATTCAACACTATTCTTATACACCCTATCAAATGATCTCAAAATTTTAATGAGATTCATCATGTCCTATATATAAATACGAAGTTAGAATTTTAAATTTATAATCCAAATTATTTATATATATTAAAATGATTTTTGACACAAATACCAATTGATTTTATTGATATAAAAAATAGATCCATACAAAAATAAATAACTTAGAACTTTGATTTTTTTTTAACCCTAAACTTTGTCATCCTCTTGTTGGTTGCCACTTTTAACATGAGATAAAAATAAAGTTATAATCCCAAAATAAATTATCGAAATAAATTAATTCTAAAATTAATTTCGAATTAGTTAGCCTTAAAATCAAATTTCCCTCACAGTACCAAACATGTCAAATGTTCTATCAACTTCACTTTAGAAGCAAAGTTTACTCCTTTTCGTGCCTTCCTATCTTGTCATGTAATCGCCATTTTTGTATCTCTTACACCTCTTTTTATCGAAAGCCAGATGACATTTCAAGCCCAGAAGCATTGCCTGCAGCTCCATCTTCTCGCCAGTCCCATTTGGTACCCTCCAATAACGTAAAATTTTCAAGAAATGGTCAGTTTTCGTACAAAACAAGACACTCTGAGCATCTTGAAATCGATGATGTGGTACTATCGAACAAGAAAATTACAAGTTTTATTCGATCTGGGGATTTAGATTCTGCGTTTAGAGTTTTCGAGAGTGTGAAGGTTAAGACAGTAATCACATGGAATTCAATCTTGGCTGGGTTTTCAAGAAAATATGGGTTTCTTGAAGAAGCATGCCAACTGTTTGATAAAATTCCTGAACCGAATGTTGTGTCGTATAACACTATGTTAGCTTGTTATTGGAGAAATGCTGATATTCAGGCTGCTAAGAGTTTCTTTGATCGAATGCCGGTTAAAGATGTTGCTTCCTGGAATACCATGATTTCAGGGTTCTCTCAAAATGGACTGATGGGTGAAGCGGAAGAGTTGTTTCGGGTAATGCCGGTGAGGAATGAGGTTACTTGGAATGCTATGGTAGCTGGGTATGTTGAGTCTGGGGAATTGGAATCAGCATTGGAGTTGTTTAAGGAAGCTCCTGTGAAAGGTGTGATTGCTAAGACAGCGATTGTGACGGGGTATATGAGATCAGGAAATGTTGAAATGGCGGAGAAGATGTTTCAAGAGATGGAAGAGAAGAGTATGGTTACGTGGAACACCATGATTTCGGGTTATATTGAGAATGGGAGAGCAGAGGATGGTATGAAGCTGGTAAAGAAAATGATGGGATTGGGTATAAAGGTGAACGACTCAACGTTGAGTAGTCTCTTACTAGGTTGTAGTAATTTATCTGCATTGAAATTGGGGAAGCAAGTTCATCAGCATGTCGTGAAGTCCCCTTTGTACTTGGATATGACGGTGGGGACTTCATTGATTAGCATGTATAGCAAGTGTGGAGTTTTGGAGGATGCTTGGAAATTGTTTCGTGAGATGCCAAGAAAGGATGTTGTCACTTGGAACGCC